ATTCGTAGGTAAGTTAGGGATTGAGATGAGTTGAACAATCGTAGGTAGGCTAGGGCTTAACATTAGTTCAAATAAAATAAAAACGCTAAAATATGTAAAATAAAATACTTTAGACATGTAAAATTTCTTGAACGTAAATATACAAATTTGTAGGTAGGTAGGTGAGTTGAGTTAATCATTATAGGTAAGCTAGGGTCTTGAGAGTAATTTAGTTGTAGGTAGGTGACTGACTACTATATTTCGACTTTTAACTATTTTTTGCTATATGTTTGTTTTTGCTTCATACCATCACAACAACAAAACTAAACATACTAAATTTTTTTTCGTCGTCGCCTTAAATTATACTTTTTTATAAACAGTTTTTTTTAATAATGTCTTTCTATTTATTTATTAAATGTTGACTGGTTTCAAGTTTTTTTTAATTTGGTTAAATAATTTTTGGTATTTCTTGATTTACTTTGCATATATGCATGTATAAATAATTTCTTTTTGGTATGTTGATTTAGCCATTATGATATGCTGTGAACTGTTCTTACTAAATGTTCATGTTACGTGGGTGATTATCCTTCGAGAACTTCTAAGGAGTGCATTTGATGATAGAAACAAAAAGTTGATTGAACGTTGAAGGCGGCTGGACGATATAATCAGATAAATGTTTACTCTGAGTTCTGACATACATTTTAAGACTTATAATTTGTTTTTAATATTTTAATTGTTGACTTTTTTCAATAAAATTTAAAAACAAAAAATTGTTGAGTTGAATTTCGTTCTAAATTTTATACCTGAAAATAATCGAAACCGAAAGGGAATTGATTTTATAACATAGGACTGAAACATCATCACTATATAACAATAAACAATAATAATAAAGAATTTTTTAACGGTCAATATTTCGTTATATTCGTTTGTTTAAAATCCGAAATTTTAAAAAATTCACATTTTTATATTTTTAAATGATATCAAATAAAAGCAAAGCAGCCATGTGTCTTTCTTGCTTCATTAAACTCCGAAACTGTTGGTAGGTATGGTATACTTCTGAACTACCTCGTATTATTAATAACTTTTCTTTCTCTAGTCAACTATATGCTGATGATTCTTATATTTATACTTCTTTTCCTCCATCTAATCTCAATAGTGTTCTTCATAATTTATCTCTATGTCTTTCTTCGATTATCGCTTGGTCTGATTCTATGTGTCTTAAACTTAATCCTTC